AACAACTAAATTAAGTAGTACTGAGCTGCTAGTGCAATATAATAAATGAGAAAAAGTAGACATGAGCCGTAAATTGAGTCATCGCGAGCCGCACAATGAATACCACTGATTGGTGGACGTAGAGGTCCACCTTCCACTTGAATACTTTCACACTTGTTCCTGCAATATTTATGATATCTGCTAGCAGTAGGTTGAGTACCTTTGACAAAGCTCTCAAGCACTTTCCAGGTATCATGTATCTCTCTCTCCTTCTCTCCAGTGAGTACAACATATTCAAGACTTTAAGGCGTTCCCAGTAATTTAAATGCTTTACCGTATCTATAGTCTTGGACCATGGCTGTTCACTGTGTTTTCTTATACCCTTGACGCTTTTATTTTTCAGTGGGTCTTGTTTACACTTCCTCTCATGCCTCTTCATTATATTACATTTAAATTATATCTCCTCCGGAGAATATATTCAAAGTACTTCGACCCGTTCTCGGCAGCTCAAATGATATATTACCCGCATACATCCTATTGGATGTTTGCGGGGAATGAAGGTTCTCTCCAGCCATGAACGGAGCACTTAACATATATTTTAAAGTAGTTTTTTTTACACAAAAATTAAAAAGTGGTTATAACTATGAACATAATTTTTAATGGGATGGGCCGGTAAGCCAGCTGAAGGCCTCGGTCAGATGACCAAAAGCTCCAACGGCGGGTTATTATAAATAAAAAAAGGCACAATACCGTGACTGGAACGATACACAAATAACCCGCACATAAAAGAGAGTAGCTTGCGACGACGTTTCGGTCCGACTTGGACCATTTGCAAAGTCACACGGGTTATTATACTAAGACCCGCATCAGAAGACACTTATCCTCTTTCCTGACGTACCTAACCTAACCTACACATTTAAAAAAATGGAGAGGGATGAGGGCCATCTTCAGATGATCCCTGAAGAAAATGTCATAATCCATAAAAAAAAAAAAATTATCTGATATAAATAAGAATCTAGTCTCTAGAGAGGTTACCGTTCACCAAAGTAATCCCCAACCTCTGTAAGAAGTGATCAAGGTCTCAGGACCGAAACGTTCTCTAGGACATATCCTAGTGTTTGCTCACGTGTCTAAACCAGTCCCCAACCTGTCCTGTAGTCTCCAAATACCAACATGTGCCCCTAGTTATCTAGTGCATTACCCGCTTGTACATTGATTTACTTTACACAAGGTGGACCAACAATAAGAATGCCTCACACCAACATGTTAAGTAATTAATGACTAACATAAAAACTTTACGATCGGCCACAACAAAAATTTGCATAGTGTAACTCGAACCAGGTGAAGTATAAATGCATTAAGAACGGTCACAACATTGTAATTAATGAGCAATATAAGGACTGTGCAAATGGCCGTAAGAACTTCACCAGGTAACTTACTGAAGTTGCTGCATGATGATCTATCCAGACTTAAAGTGTTCTCGAATAAAAGTAATCACGACATCTTACTTAAGTCACAAAACGGAGTGAGCCTTATACCTTTGATATGCCTTTTGAAGAGTTTCGAGAGTTTCTCTACTCTGTGAGCCCGGCCATGGGCCAGGCTCGTCTGGTGCCTAGTTGGGTTTAAATTATGTTTTGTGAATAAAATAATCATGACATCTTGCATAGGTCACAAAATACAGTGAGAATATTTTTTTTAATCACGACAATTACAGAACTTGTGAGGTTTAAACCCAACCAGTTCTGATTTTTTTTTTTTTTTGCAATCCTGTTATTACGACTTCGTGAGCTATGACACCTTACTTAAGTTACAGAACGCAGTGTATCTTAGTCATGCAGATTGCCTCTCAGCTCCCCTTCTGGGATCCTCATCTGCTGAAGAGGATCCCAGAAGGGGGGTCGAAATATACAGATTACTTAATTTCCTGAGTTTTTGTCTCCATGTGGGTTATTATTGAGCATAATGTATTAAGTTGGCAATCAAAAAATACAAAAATTAAGAATGATGAAAGGACACATGTACAACCAGTGCGACATTTTTACGTAACGTTCCACTCTCCATGATCTTTGTCAGGTCGTAACATATTGTTAATTCTACCAACACTGTTACAAAATTAAGATACCTTCTACATAATACAAATTTTGTATATCTTCTACAAGCCCCATCATACCATACGGGTTTGTCTTCACTGATAGTCGCTACTCCCACAACCTATTTTTTTCCCGTCTTATTTTCTTGAAAATTAATTTATTCCCGTCCATCCCCTGTCACTCCCGCCGCTATCAATTCACAGACGAATCACCTTTTGGCGTCACTTCTGCTGCATTTAGTGTTCAAATTAATGCTTCGGCGGCTCTCTCTGCGGCATCTCGTGCTTATATTTATGTTTGAGCATGACTACTGCTGCCATCTGAGAGGGAATCAATCACTTTTGAACGTCACTTGTGCTGCCTTCTATAACAAAATTATTCAACGTCGGGCATCACTTGTGCTGCCATCTGCAGGCAATATCAATCAGTTCTGTGCATCACTTGGGCTGCTGTCTCCTGACAGAATTAATCAACTCAGGGCGGTGCTTGTGCTGCCCTCTAAATTCTGAATTATCTTTTCTCTAAAATGCATTGCCTTCTAAAGACAGAATTAATAGACATTCCCCAGAATTAATCGACATTTCCCAGAATTAATCTACTTTCCTTCCCTCACTTCCCATTCCCCAGTTGCTATATAACTTCTGCGGGTTGAGCGCTTCCTCCTTATTTAAAATTTAAAATTATTAGAAATAAACTTCCCTATGGCGGCTAACTGTGTCATTAAAAAAAAGGCACCATTTGATAATCTTTATCTAAATCTCTGCTGGTATTACGTACTAGATAAATATTTTTTTTTCTATAATAGAGACATGTTAAATAAAGCCTTGACTTGTGACCTCGGCAAGACGAGGTCACGGGTCAGCGATCCCAAATCTGTCAGTGTCAGTAGTTGATTATACCCATAAAATCTTTTTAATGGAAGGAAATTATTTGACTTGGGTGGTATATAGCTAAATAGAAAACAAGGCATAATAGGCAGTTGGCTAGGCTCATACCTGTAAATAATACGTCACTGTCATAACCAAAAAGATTTTTCAATTATGTTTTTTTTTTTTAAGGTTTATTTTGGGGCAGACATCTCTCTGGTAGCTATCGGAGCCATCAAAATTTTTAGCAGGGGGTCGATGCACAGCTCCTAAAATCGCTGATTAATATATGTGTAACCTAAATTTTGTGAATTTTGGCCTCAAGGTGACCCATCGTGCCAATTCTTGAAGCTGCGGATAAAGCTTGCCTCCACCCATCTCCCCTTTAATTCAATTCCGTATGTTTCTCTCTCTACCACTCAGATTCCTTGAGACTTTGTAAATGATCCAAGTCGGCCCGAAGCTCTTTTCTCTATGTGCGAGTTATTTGTGTATCTGTTATCTCAACTTTGATTCCAATTTTACTCTTTCTCTAACCCCTTCCTTTGCACAACCCGATCCCTCATTCCTACTTTAACACATTCTACCCCTTCCGGCTTTAGCGCCTAAGTTGATTCTTACAATATGGCTTCGTCCCAGTCTTTAGTTTCCACTGTGCCCCCGTCACTCTAATACCTTGTACAATGTGTCAGTTCATAATCATGCCCTCCCTTGGGAACTCTTTTCATAAAAGGTCGCCAGTTTTACTGCTCAAGTCTCTCATATTTCATACCATTTAGATTTGGGCAAATTATGTTGCAAACCCTTGGACCCTTTTCAGTTTTATGTCGCCTTTTATAGGCAATTAGTTTACAGTTAGCCTCATATTCATCCTTTGGATGGTAGTGAAATAGAATAGAGATGCTGAACGTGAAAGGTATAAGAGAGGATACACGTGGGTACATTTAGTTAATATGTTATGTGGAAGTAAATTTAGAATACAGACGAATGATCCCTAACTGATTTGAAAATATTTTTCTATCTATTTGGATTAATTTTTTTAATATTTATCACTAATCCTGTAATTCTTCACACACAAAGGATCAAAATCAATTTTTTTTTCAATTTACTTGAGACAGTAAACACCACCAACACACACCTATCCCGTTACCGCGGAGAGGTAAGACATATTAATTAATAAGTAACAGATTGATGAGGTATCTGAAGCAAGAGGCGAAACATGGAACAAAGGATCAAATTCAAGCCAAACTATGGGATCTTAACCAGTGAAATTGGCTTTGGTTTTATTAGCAGAGGATCTAAAAAGGATTCAGTTACTTAAGAGCAAAGCCAATGATTAGCGAAGCGGTAAGATTAGCACAACAGCAGAAACAAAAGTAAATCAGGTTTTGGAAAGGTCAAACAGAAGCTAGAAATTTTGAAGATGAGCAATGGGGGGGGGGGGGAATGCATATCTTACAAAACGATAAAAACACTTAAAAAAAATAGTAAAAAGTTGTAGGCTACACAAAAAGAGAAATTCACATCCACCGAAAAGACTGGATATGACACACTGAGAAAAACAATGCAATAAAGTGGGTAAGAGGTCCGTTGGTGAACCCGTCGTCGTGAGCAGAGAAGAAACACATGGCTTTAAGGCATGCAGTGTTGGAGACGAGTGTTGAGGCTTACAGGCGGGAGTAGAGCCGGTGTTGAAGAGCGTTGGTGTACACTCCGCTGCCAGTGAGGGAGAGATGGTGGAGTTAGAGAGAAAGTGTGACATGGCCATCTATTCTCTACAGGACGAGGGTTTTAAGTTAGTCGAGATCACTGGCCACAAAAGTAATTATGAAGGACCAAGACGGAATTTATATTCTAAAGCAGCCAGACGACGGCATTTAAAGGAAATGTTAAAAAGTGGTTAAGAAGAGCCTAAACATGGCAAAATTTCAACAGTTTAATTACAATCTTGTACACAAAACCAACATTCAGGTGACGAACTTGTGCTAGTGACGTGAGAACTTGCTAGGCTATAAAGTGTTTTTTTTTGTACATACAGTGAGAGCTTTGGAAATGCACTCACCTGCTGGAGTCGAGGCGGGCCATCTCCTTTGTTTTGAGAGCGTCATCAGGAGAGAGCTTACAGGTGTAGATAAGAGCTGCTGCTAACAGAGCCACGTGTGCGGCCAGCAGCAGCAAGGCTGGACCAACCAGGGAAAACACGAAGTAGTTGTCTGTGCGGAGCCAGCAGTATTGGGTCGTGCCGTAGCTGAAGGGGTCGATGACGGCTGCAGTGCCCACCACTAGGAGAGGAAGGCCGTAAGCTAAGGCGTAGTTCCACCAGCGTAGCCTCAGAGAGTCGCACTCCACGGCCCGGGCCACGCTCAGGTAAACATGCACACCTGTAACAACACGTACAAAACCATATTAATGTCTGACATCCATCATTAAAAACTCAGAGCCAAACCCCGCATCTAGTAAACACTAGGCATTGTTTCCCCATACCCAGGAGCACCAGGCTACATGCACTGCCCCACGAGAGATTTTTAGAATGCTTATCATTAAAATTATATTTACATTTTATTACTGTAACCTGGCTAACTACCATTATGCTGGAGCCGTTCTTTGACACGCTGTGTGTTTGTGTCCTAACGATGTTTATGTAGTGCACGTTAAAACTATAACTAAACGACGGTGAAATAGCTAAAATATATTAACAGGTTAATTTGGAGGACGCTGTCTTGCGACACTTACCTTCCATAAACATCCATGCAAATGCTGAGAGGACCGTATAATGGAGGATACCGGCCACGACGCCACAGAGGACAGGAGCATCAGTGCGCCACACCCCCACCAGGAAGACCAACTCGGCAGCTGTTAGACACACGCACACATGTCGGTGCACCGCTGTGCGGGGGGAGGCCAGCCCGCGGAACACTGAGAACACCAACAGGGATCCCGCTACGCACACAAGACTCACCACGCAGCCGACGTAAGCCAGGATGCGCAGCGCCGCCTGGGGATCTTCTCCCGTGCTACCCGCAGCTTCCTCCATCAGCACGGCGAAGTTTGTCAAGTGATCGCACTGACACGTGACATGGGAGCGATTGTATATCAAAACGCGGCAACCTTCGTCACTCCAAGCTGAGGTAGTGTAGTCCCAGAAGGCGCACACAGGCCGGGTTACATTTTCTTGTTTTAGAAGCGAGAAGGTGAGAGTCACTGGCTCCGGCAGCTGGATGTGGCGACCGCTACCTAGAGACGCTGACATTACACGTGAATTAACCATGCGGGTTATGTTACCCGCGCGATGTCCCAGGGGCTCTGGCCCCGGGGTCAACAAATCCTCGAAGTGACGATAAGTCAAAAACACAACTCTAGTAGTCCCACCATCACTGTTTTCTAGGATAGCTTCTGGAGGTAGTGTGACCGTGTCGGCGTACACCCAGTCAAGATCTTGGTCCTCCGAGGAAGGGAATCTAACAGAGGAGCCGTCAGCCGTGGCAGACCTTGCGGACACCAGAACATGAGACTTGTAGTGTGCAGCCTGGGCACCTGGAGGCAGAGCGCCTGCCAGAAGGAATGAAGCTTCTTCCAAAGCCTCCATGAGCCGAGTGACAGCATGGCGCCTCTCACGGACCGCTAAATCTCCCCATGGCCCCGCCATACCTGCTGCCAGTAAGGCAGATCCTGTAGCCAGTGCAGCCTGCAACATTTCCGTGACGAGGTCCTGCCGTTGTCGAGGGTCGGGGAAGTCGCGAACTTGCTCCGTCATGCGGGCGGCCAAGGTGGTTAGGAGTTGAGCTGTGGTAGTGAGATCTCCGCCATAGAGGTCCTTGCTGGCAGTCACTGTGGCCAGATCAGCAGCAACACTCAATAAAGAGTCGTGAGAGTTGGCACGAGTCTTGAGAGTTGCTAACCACACACTGCGACATTCACTCAGGTCAGCTGGGCCTGCCCAGTCTGCTGAGTGACATGGCCGCCGTGCCCAGCCCGAGGCCCCGCCAGGACACGGCTGGACAGCCACTTCGCCGCCCCGTGTCCAATTCCAGTACAATCCGCGTCCGAATGATGGAGGGCACCAAGGAGAGTCGTAGTCGCCCTCGAAACGCGGGGGTGGCACTGGTGGTACGTGAGTACTGGTAGGCTGGGTTGTGGTGGGGGATGTACTGGCGCTAGTGGTAGAGGTGGGAGTAGCTGGGGTCGTGGAGGAGGTTTGGGTAGTAGGTTCTCCACTAAGTGTAGTGAGAACCTCAATTTCTGGTCTCTCTCCTTCCTCCAACACATGTGGTATTGTTGCAGGGGGAAGGGTAGTGGTGGTTGTGGTAGTCGTGGTGGTGCTGCTAGTAGTAGTAGTCGTGGTGGTTGGTGGAGGCGTGGTGGTCGTCGTCGTGGTGTAGTTGGTCGTAAGGGTAGGCAGGATCCGAATGGGCGGGCGGGTTGCGACGTACCACGGCGGTCGTGGCCTGGAGGTCGTAGTAGTCGTTGACGTAGCTACAAGAGAAATACAAGCATCAGACACCTGTACCCCCTACATAAACACTCACTATAGCACTACTTTATAAACCATAAAACCAGGCACTATATAAAATCTGTAAGTGTCAGTGACAGGGAACCATAATATTATACAATGCAATCCAGTCCAATACAAGTGCCACATGCAAGAGAATTATGACTCCATAACAGTAACAATCAGGGGCCACGAGCGTATAACAAGCTCCCACAACATCTATAACAGAGAGCAGTTAACATAAGAGAGGTGTGTGGGGCGGCCTGATAGTGTCACCACCACACCCAGAGTGAGGGAAGAAGAGGACGGGGGTGAAGAACAGCATAGGCAATAATGGGGGGGGGGGGGAGAGGGCCAGGAGAATAATAAAGAAGGGGAGGAAATAGCATGGAAGGGTAAACAGGAGAGGTATAAACATATCGGGGTAGTATTTTTTATGGCTGTAGGGAGGTTAAGCGTTATGTTTAGGGAGGGAAACTGAAGAAAGGGGAGCGATTGTGTAATTGACCCAAGGGAGAAGAGGGCACTTGGCCTGAGAGGTGAAAGGAGGGAGGGTTGCTAGGCCTAGGAGTGGGATGTTTCATAGAGAAGAGGGGTTGGGGTTGGTTAAGGGAGTGCCAGAGTTTCAACATTATCATGCAAATGGCACTACGGCTCACAACGCCCACAAAGTTTGCGTCGTGGCAGCCACGTTTTGATGTGGATATAATGACATTACAGTTGGCCTTTACCACTAAATGATTAACATGAATAACTCAACGAAACTATCACCAAGTGAGTGGAGGAGATAGAAGACAGGAGGAAGCAAAAGGACGAGGGGAACTGGAAGGAGACCTAGAGAAGGGAAGGTACTGGGAGAATATACATAGAAGAATAAGGAATGGAGGATGAGAAGGCAGAGATCGTAAAACAAATATAGAGGGTGGAGGTCGAGAAAGGATTGGGTTAGGTTAGGTAAGGTTCGTCAGGAAACTGGACAAGTGTTCCTGATGCGGGCCTTAGTCATATGATGACCCGCTGTTGGCCATCTAACCGTGGAGGATTGAAAGGAACTGCGATGGACTGGATGTAAAAGGAGACGGAAGGGATGGAATGGAACCAGTAAACAGGAAAGGAAGAGATTTAGGAAGGGAAGAAGTAAAAACTGAGAGGGAGTAAAAGTTGTGGGGCTAGAGAAAATTAGCATTAAGGGGATGAACACCAAGAAGATTGGAAAGGAGGGTAAGACAGGGGATGGGTATTAACCAGTACCACAGGGTAAACACCGAAACATCAACCCCAGTGGAACCAATACCCGAAGATCACCCCAAAATGCGAACAGCGGGTTAGCCCGGTACAAGGAACTAGCTTTACCTGCATTGCACTGGTAGTGAGCCTCCAGGTACTTATGAGTACCAGGACAGCCGTCGCCAAAACGAACAGTGTTGGCTTCGATGGTACATGAGGGCTTTCCAGAGCAGCTTGCGAAAGAAGACAAGACATTTCTTAAGAAACTACATCTACCGTCCACCAGTTAGAGACACACACACACACATTATGATACACGAAGTTTGTGTTACGGACACCATCTCGCTGAATAGATGGGATAGATACTTACGACCCTTATCCTATGGTTAGGGCGGGGCGAGTATTCACCATGACATCCAGAGGTGTACAAATACCCAACCTATTCTCATTCGTTGATGTCTAATGTCAATTTTCTACAGACCCATAATTTCCTTCTCGATTTTAAATTATATTAGGTTACATCAGGCTTTGAAAAGCGTATGCTTAAGTACAAATACGCAAATTCAAAGACGGCGGTCGTGATTACTTCTGACGGACAGGTAATGATCGTTCAAATCTGTACGATTATCTTAGTGCGAAAATGAACCGAAATAACACTTTCCCCACCCCATACCATAGTTATAGATAAAGAGCTACTTAACACTTCAAGTCACAGCCAGGAAGGGCTTGGAACCCACGACCCTAACTAATGCCAAGTAAGAACTGGCATTCAAATCTCTTGCACTCGAGATACTTATTGACAACCCTCATTCCGTGGACGAGCTTGTTTACGAACGAAATCTTACCCCAAGGAAATACGCCAATACGAATGTAAAGGCAATAACAGCAGCAGCCATTGTGTGTGTGTGTGTGTGTGTACTTGTTGTCTCCTGTGAGGTTGCGGGGGTGAGTCGATTGGCCGCCTCTCACTGGTCGGCTGGTTGCAAGTAGGATTACGTGAAGCAGTTGTACTGAGTGTGTGGGTGTGGTGGATGGGTGTGTTGTGTGTGTGTTGTTTGTTTTGTAGTTTTAGGGGAGGTGGTGTAGTGTGCAGGGTGTCCGTCGCTGGGCAAGATGGAAGACAGAGTAAACTGAGGAGAAGGAGGCGGCGGGTGGTCATTCTGAGCCACGGTGGGTTTGGTTCCTCCACCTGAAGATGAAAAAGAACTGGGGAGGGGTTCCACACCATGTGCCCCCACAATGCACCTGGACCTCTAGTCAACATGCAGAATTAACCTTTACTATGACCAGTATATAAATCTCTAATGATATAGTCTCGTAAATCGTCCAGGAAGGGCAGGGGAAGGAGGTAAAAGGAGTGATGGAGCGGGACGATACGAACGTACATCTTGAATGGCGAAATTTTAATAATGGATCATCAACACAGCTGGCGTCTAGGGGGCGGGACTCGCAAGACCCGCCCTGCCAAACGTATAAGACCTGCATTCAATTTGAAAGAAATAATCAGAGGGGGATTACTGGATGCCGAGACCCTGGGGGATGCTCAGGGAACATAAGATGGTCTATTACAAGTTAGTAGCCTGTATTTACGAAGAGAAGTGTAATAATTTCATGTAGTGGATGTTACGACAACTACACGCTGAGACAAGAGTGAGGGAGGCAGAGTGTAAAGTGAGAGAGGTGGATAGTGAGAGAATATTGAGACAGGCAGATGAGAGAGGTAAACAACGAGAGGCTGTGTGTGATAGTGTGTGTGGGGGGAGGGGGTATCTAGGGGTGGGATGTGTGTGTGAGAGAGATAGTGTAGTAGTAGTAGCAGCATTTGTGTGTGTTGTGTGTGTGTGTGTGAGAGGCTGGTAGCGTGTGTGTGTGTGTGTGTGTGTGAGTGAGAGAGGCTGGTAGCGTGTGTGGGGGCTGGTAGCGTATGTGTGTGTGTGTGTGGGGCTGACAGTCAGCGTGTGGGGGCTAGTAGTACTCACCAATGTGGTTGCAGGGGTCAGTTCATAGCTCCTGGCCTGGTAGTGTATTTACTCATCTATGTGTGGATGTAAGGGTCATGTGTGCGAGGGGAGTATGTGGAGGAGAGAGAAGAGAGAGAGAGAGATAGAGGGGGGAAGGGAGGAGAGGATAGAGGGTATAATGGTGTCTGCTCTATACACCTTTGGGACAATTAACTCTTGGATCACCTCACGTTCTTCTCTTCTTCCCTCTCCTGCACACCACGCTTCCTCATCCATCAGTTTTCCTCCTCAACCCTCCTCTACTTATATTTATATCCTCCCCTGCCTTATCCTCTTCTCTTACCACTTTCTCTTCCCTCATTCTCTCCTCTTTTTCTAAGCCTTTGTCTTACCTGATCAAGATAGCTATCTCAATAACACCTTCCATCACCCTCCCACAATTCCCTCCCATTAAATCCATGTGACTGGTGAATAATATGGAACATTAACCTTCTCTTCCCACTTATTTTCATTCCTCTAGTCTTGTCCTATGTGGTCGTCGTAGTTTCTTTACATCTACAGTCCCCCCCCCCCTCTCTCTCTCTCTCTCTCTCTCTCTTTTACACAAGGTTTTACAAGGTTAGGTTTTTGGTTCCAAACTTTATTTACAAGCCAAGAGATGTTACTTACATCAGCTCATTTGAAAGCCTTTTTATTATGAAACATACATATAGGGAACAGGATGAAGTTGGAGCTATCCGTGGGTTCCAACTCTCTCTCTGTCATTACACTTCGATCTATTACACAGTCAACCAGTCCGTAGGTCGATCATACACAGCCACTCAAATTTACTATCCCTCAGAGAGAGAGAGAGAGAGAGAGAGAGAGAGAGAGGGGGGGGGAGCGAGGAGATGGGTTATAATGCCGTAAACTATTTTAAAAGAAGATAATCGTTCGTGTAAAATGCCCAAATACCGGACTATTCTGTCGTAAATCAGCGATAGTATCATGAAGGTGTCGGAGGTGACGCCACGTCAACTCAGGAGGAGGAGGAGGAAGAAGAGAGGAGGAGGAGGAAGAAGAGAGGATGAGGAAGAGCATCATTAACAGGAAGACGAAGATGAAGAGAGGAGGAAGATGATTAAAATGATGGGGAGGAAAAAATGGAAGAGATAAGAGAAAAAAAGATCTAGGAAGAGGACGAGGGAAGAAGAAACGGGACAGGTGGAAGAGTAAAGGTAGTAACAGTTTTATCACCTTCACCGCCTCCTCTTTATTAATTTTCGTTCTCCATCATCGTCGTCGTCTCCATAGACACCTCTTTCACTCCATGAGGAGACGACACAACCAAGTGTAAATATCACAACTGAAAGAATGCTAAGCACGAGATGTGACAAACAATAATGAAAAAAAAAAACACCGAACAGCAGCAGTAGTTCAACGCCGAAAATCCCAGACGACCGAATCATGTTGAAAAAGCATTGTTAATGGAGTTAGTAAGGCTATTTGCTACTGGTTAGTAGTCTACGTATACAGATACAGTCTTGTGTTAGTGTAAATCTGATAGCTATTTATTTTTTATCCAGTGCCCGGCCACCCGCTTTCCTGAACCCGTTTAGTAAACCAGCCGCTACGTTATCAACAACGATAAAGTTTGTAGTACTTCTAGTAGTAATAAATTGTAGCTACTTGTTAAGCCCCTACTATATCTTGTGGTTCTTCAAAAAGAGGCGTAGGGATAGAAATCGTGTGACGTGACAAAGGTCGCAGGACTGCAAAGTTACCTAGGGCGCAGGAGTAATGGACTTCGATGTACTTGTGGGTTCCTGGGCAAGGGTCGCCGAAGATCTGGCTGGTGACCTCAACCATACAGCTGTCCAGTCCGCTACACCTGCAGTTTCCTCAACTCTCTTAGTCAAAGTACCTCTCATACTAGTTCAGTTTTTCTCCCGTTCTCTCTCCTTGTACTGCTAGATTATTGTTCTTGTCTAAAAAGCCTCACAGTGGCTGCAATTACTCTCACTAATCTTATATTCTGACTGTTTTTTTCGAAGACACGCTTTAAAATGCCTCCTGGTTCTTTTTCTTTACATTCTCTATTTTAACACTTTCTATTACTATCTAACATATATCTATATCAAAAGCTAATTTTATGAGATACCTGCTATTAATATATAATAAAAAATATTGCTAAAATTATAAGCAAAAAAATCTGAAAATAAGTTAGCGTAATCAGTTTTAAAATTAATGTTGAAAATATAATTTAATTAATAAAAAAAATATATTATCACACATAGAATTAAAAAAAATCCTACATTTTTCCAATAAGAAAAAGATTGAAAATATTGCATATATAATTTGATATTGTAATTAAATTTTAAAAATAAATACATGGCATTACAAGAGCTAATGAATTTTTCGAAAATTAATGACTTTAAAAATCCTTCAAGACTACAAAATTGTGGAAAAAAAGAACATTAACATAAATGGAAAATATTTTAAAACAAAAGAGAAATAAACATTTATGGTTAACATTAATGTTAAATATGTATTATTTTTCTCTCCAGAAGAAGACATGTCAACTTAAGCATATAAAAAAATGAGATATTCAAAAATAAATTATGACTTGACCACACGAGTGCTTTAGGAAGACAACAATAGTCTCTCAATATATATCTCAAAAAAATATTTGGAAAATTAAATCATCCACCCTCTCTCATTTTACCCATTCTCTCCCATCCCCTTCCCCTCTAATTATCATTCTCATCTGTCTGGTTCTCTCTCTCTCTCTCTCTCTCTCTCTCTCTCTCTCTCTCTCTCTCTCTCTCTCTCTCTCTCTCTCTCTCTCTCTCTCTCTCTCTTCCCCTTTCATCACAGCCAAGTCTTTCTACCTCTAATACACACACAAAGAACTGTGTATACTTTGTAAAAAAAATATACTTAATCCTCCATAGAATGCATTAAAAATCTCAAAAAATGTAAATTTAACCCACTAAGTGGGTTAAATTTACATTTCCCCCATGAAGGGGGGGGGGTGATCCTTAAAGTTGGGACAGGCGGAGGACAGAATCAGATTGAAGATGCTGTGATTCGAAGAGACAGAACCCTGGTTTTATATACTGTTATGGACATTTCACATGATTTAAGATTATGTGACATATTTAAAAAATAATGAATGTGCTAAACCGTTATATTGTAGCATAATTATACGATTCATTGTAGTTTGAAGCACCCAGCTGCTGGGAATGTTAATAAGAGATAGAAATGTAAATAATCATTGAAATCTGACTTCGTAGGATCGTCAAGATGATGTCAGCCTATTTATCGCAACTGTGAAATTCCTGTGTTACTGTGTGAATATTTGGTTGGACAGGGGGAGTTTAAACTTAATACTTTACAGAGATGCTGATGAATGCCTTTTTACCTATTGATCAACTCCGATCTCAGACATTCCAGTCAAATGCTACACTCGTTTTATTACGAATTTTCTGGCATGACCTAGATGTAAAATAAATTGCTGGAAATGTGTTTATAGTCGCACCAATGACTGACATTCACCTTTCCAGAGAAAAGCACTTTTGGCACTGCTTTTGGCACTACTTGTCACTCTCTGGACTGGAGATCCGAGTATTGACTGGCATTCAGTTAATATATAATATATATATATATATATATATATATATATATATATATATATATATATATATATATATATATATATATATATATATATATGTCGTGCCGAATAGGCAGAACTTGGGATCTTGGCTTAAATAGCAACGCTCATCTTGCCATATAGGACAAGTGAAAATTTGTGTATGCAATATCGCCAAAATCATTCTTAACCTAACGAAAAAAATATATTTCACTGTGTTTGTTTAGTATTAAATTATTGTAAACAAATCTAAAATATATTTAGTTGGGTTAGGCTAAAATAAATTGCTCTTGTTATAATAAGGTTAGGTAAGTTTTCTAAGATTCTTCTGGTGCAAAATTAAAAATTTTTACATTAACATTAATGAAAAAAATATATCTTTAAACGTATGAGAAAATTTTAGAAAGGACTTAATTTTAAATGAGTTCTTGCTAATTGACCAGTTTTACATATTCGCACGATATTATATATATATTATATATATATATATATATAATATATATATAATATATATATAATATAATGCAAAACAACCACTGTGAAAGAGTAGTGAAATTCCAAGCGCTTTCCTTGACAATGTGAGTAGTTACGAAAGCGCTTGGAATTTCACAACTCTTTCAATGGTCGTTTTGCATATTTTAAAATCACCTGTTTACTGTGATCTTATTGCATGCATATATATATATATATATATATATATATATATATATATATATATATATATAATATATATATATATATATATATATATATATATATATATGTGTGTGTGTGTGTGTGTGTGTGTGTGTGTGTGTGTGTGGTGTGTGTGTGTGTGTGTGTGTACACCAAGCAGTTAAGGCTGATATTTAATCTTCTCTGATATAAATGTTACAATTTTTAGGAAGTCTTGCCCTTACAGTCCGGTCAGAGACCGAACATTGCTTCAGTAATTCACGTAAAATACACCGCGGTACATTACTGAAGATATGAATGGGACCTAAACATCTACTTCACTCTGATTTGACATTGCAGACAGGACTTGGTGGAGGTGACAGGACCCTCGAGTGTGTTCTGTGAGTAGGACCTCAGGGATGAGCAGGATACTGTGTGTCCCAGTGAGAACAATCATTGGTGGTCGAGAGAGTGGTCAAGAGGGATACGTGTTTATGTGCTTAATAGCTGGGGTATTTGTGTGTGTGTGGCGCGCGCGCGTGCGTGATTTACGTAATTTTGATTATATAAACACCTTAATTGCAGCATTAATAACCCTTATGAAGTCGACAGGATTCATACTTAATCTAACCCAAGTTCTTGAACTGTCAACAGCTGGCAGCATCACCACTTCTAAGTTGACACTCAGTATGGAACTCTATGCTTCAGACAACCAACGTATACACAACAGCCCGGCTAATCAGGGGCACATTACGGAAACTTGTTCTTTTCACTCTTGAAGTCGGTAAGGTGTTTTAATCATCCCAAGTATATGAGGGAAGGTTGCTAAAAAAACAATGGTTCCATTAGTATGCTAATTACATATTTGATCTTCATTAAGGAAATTTTTGGCACCGTCTTCGTTGGTACACTAAGAGAAAACACTAAGTGTCCGGGGCCCAAGACTGTTCAACAGCCTCCCACCATGCATAAGGGGAATTACCAATAGGTCCCTGGCTGCCTTCAAGAGGGAGCTGGACAGATGCTTAAAGTCAGTGCCGGATCAGCCGGGCTGTGTTTCATACGTTGGACTACGTGCGGCCAGGAGTAACAGCCTGGTTAATCAGGCCCTGATCCACCGGGAGGCCTGGTCGTGGACCGGGCCACGGGGGCGTTGATCCCCAGAATACCCTCCAAGTAGACTCCAGGTAGACCTCCATATACACTCACACCTATTCCAGCCTGTGTATTTGGAACCAGTCATCTCAGTATTTTACCTTTGGTCAATGTTCCTCAAATTCTTCTTTCAATCCATAGTTTATCGGTGCCATTTTGTACTCGGCGCATTTTATATTTGAAATTTTATGCTAGGTACTTTCATGGACTACTGGTATGCATGTATTTGGTTTATATCAACTTGAGGCTTAGCATCCCCTGAGAATGATAATGATTTGTGCCCTTGTCTGCGTAAGATGTGACAGAGAATTGGGATGAGCACCGTGTTTTTGGAATTGCGTTTTAGGGTTGAAGGCTTTTCTGAGTTAACTTCGCTAGAAAGTTGAAGATACGTCTAAAGAACTTTTAAAGCTTTTTTTTTTTTTGTATGTATTGTATTCTGTTACACTATGGCCACACTTGTCCATTTTTTTTTTTTGTCATGTCATTTTGCCGTCTTCGTGTGCGCCGAAAATCACATCTTTGTAGGTCTAGTAAGTGAGAACTAAGAACTCACTAGTTACAACTTAGACTAAGAAGTATTCACACAGCTCCTTTTTCTTCTGTATCTTCCTTTTCATCTCTGCTTCTCCTCCCATCCTCTTCTATTTCATCCTCCGCTTGTTTCTTGACTTCTGTGTCTGCCCCCATCATTACCACTACGATCGAGTCCTCCAGTTTTCCCGTTCTCTCCCAATACTCTTACAAATAATTCTTCCTCTTCCCTCCTACTTTTCATTCATCCACTGCCTTTTCCCTCACCCGCCTCCTTCAATCGTCTCTCACTGCTCCACCCACAGGAGGATCATCCAGCCTTTCCGTTCAGGCAAGGCGCACATGATACTACCCCCAGGCGGTGATAAGCTCCTCAGAGCCCCTCCTGATCCACGACCCGCTACTGATACACTTTTCTGACCCGGGAAGAGGAATTCGCCTCTATTCTCTGCTCTGATATTAACCATACTGGAGATCCCGCTGATTTATGTCGGCGTTCATCCGGTGTTTGCCTGGTGTTTGTCTGGACTTGTTTTTGTTTGCCCGTGCTTAACTGATGTTATTTTTTTGTCTGTCTTGTTGTGACATGGTGTTTTTAGTCTTCGTCCGGTGTTTAATTGCTTTTATTTTTGTCCTCTGTTTTACAGTTGCCTATTTTTATATTTAGTGTTCACTTTGTCTGGTGATTTTTTGATATATTTTTTTTTTGTATGATCCATATTGATTTGGTTCTTGTATTAGAATAAAATAATTACGTTTTTTACGTTTGTTCGATGTTTGCCTACGGTTTTTTTTCCCTTTCTGCCTGACATTTTTGTTTATATGGATTTTTTTCTTTTCTGAAGGTTTTACCCTCTATGGTACTTTTGTTGACACTGAATCTTCTCTCTTCT